TGGTCCCCGCGGGCGGCGGGCCCGTCACCCGTCACTGTGCCCACCCCTCCCTCCGGGACCGGCAGAGACGGGGTCGAAAGTAAAGGGCGGGCCGGCGCCGCGTCACCCCCGAGACCGGGGTGCGCCCGACCCCAGCAGGGCCGCCCATCCGAGACTCATCCTGGGTGTTCCCTCCCTCCCTCGCTGAAACCAATAAAGATGTAGTTTAAGAAATAAAAGGGTGAACGTCACGGCTTGTGGAGCGTGTCAGTAAAGCGCCGGCTGTGAGTCGGGCTGTAACTTTAGCTCCCTTTTCGTTTCAGGGGCCAGTCTGGGGTCGGAAGGCCTCACGGAGGCGGCCCCGAGGGGTCCCCAGCGCTGTCAAGGCCGGGCCGCGGCGGTCAGCGGGAGGCAGGTCCTGGGGCGCAGGGGGCCCGGGCCTTCGTGCCCCGTAAGCCGGGCCCGTGGGTTCTGGGCGTGAACTCGGGCCTGGCTTCCTCGGGTGGTAGCGGGTACATGTTTTTTCAGAACCTCCTTGGCAAAACCAACGACAGAGGTCTCCCAAATTTGGGGGTGGGGAGGGCGTTTTCTGGTGATGAAATCCAGACCCCTTCGCGGGCCGCCTGCCTTGGAGGCCGGGGGACGGCGCTGGAGTTTGGGCTTGGGTCAGAGTGGCCGACAGGACACGCAGGTCACCCAGAGGGCCAGTGCCAGGCCAACGGACAGGTGGAGGGTCAGCACAAGACCTCACCTGTCATCTCTAAAGAACCTGCCGCCCTGGCCGCTGTGGCTCAGGCAGCTGGAGTGTTGTCCTGTACCCCAAAAGGTGAGGGGTTCAGTTCCTGGTAAGAGCACACACCCAAGTTGTGGGTTCCATCCCAGGGCGGGGAGGTGCGGGAGGCAACTGATAGATGTTTCTCTCTCTCTAAGATCAATTAAAAAAACCTGTGGTTCTTTTAAATGCAGGAAAAATGTGAAAACAAAATAGCCAATATGTCATTCAGAAACCAACGAACGTTTTAAAAACAGTAACCGACACACCTCTTCCTCAGGGCTACAGCGATCTGCCCCCAACAATGAGCAACACCTCCCACCTTCTCACAGGACACACACAGGAAGGAGACACCATCTGGGCCAAGACGAAATGAAAAGCCTTGTGTTCCAGGCACCAAGTACTTTAAAAATTTTTACTGGCTCCTGTGCAGCATTTCACTCAACCATTTTTAGAAGAGGGAGGGGGGTGGGTAAACAAAATTATCCGTGGAGTCTTAAAAATATTGACTTATATAAAAGCTTTTTGTAAAACAAACCAAATATTTCAAGGATAAGCGTGTCCCAGAGATACAAACCCGGCAAAGAGAAGCAAAAATCGATGATCATGGGATGACACTCCTAAGAGGCCAACTGGACGTGAGCCTTGACTGTCTACTGTGAAGTGTGGGGCAAGTGGCCTCAAGGAGACTCGGTTAGGAGAGGTTTCCACGGGGCTTGGGGAGAACACTGCACCCGTGAAATAAAAGGAAGTGAACACACCCCAGCCCAGGAGGTGGGGAGGGCCTCTACTGGACCAGGTCCAAGGATTCTGAAAGATATTTCTAGAAAGAGGGCTGTAAGGGGACTGGAGGGGAAAGTCCAGTCCAGACACTCCGGAAAGGCACGAGCAAAGTCGCGTGTTAAAATCTCACTTCTACCTTGTAGAAGCAGATTTACGCCCTGGCAGGGTAACTGAGAACCCAAAGAGAACTAAGTGGCTCCTGCTCATTCCCCGCTGCACCAGGGACTGTCGTGGAGCCAGTAGCTAAGGACAAGATCCTGAACACACTTCCTCCCTGGGGGAGAGGAAACCAACAGGCTTTCCAGGTACGGCCTGGCAACACGTCAGTTCCCAGGGCATCAATCGGGGCTCCTGGCCCAAGACCCCGGCCTCAGGCCGGAGGCGATCTGGAGCGGACGGGAGAGCTGGTCAGGTAGGTGGTGTAAGGACTGTCCCCAAACACGTTGGCGTAGGACGACTTGAGGAACTGGACATAGTTCTGCATGCTGCGGTTGGTGCTCTCTGATTGCTCCAGGCGGTCCTTCAGGTCTTGCAGGCGGCTCTGGTAGCGGCGGTCAGCCTAAGAGGAGAAGCAGAGGACCAGGTGAGAGACTATCGGGCTGCCGGGGCGCGACCGATAATGGGTATAGGGTTTCTTTCTGAAAATGTCCTAAACTTAGGTTTTGATGATGATTGCACAACTCTCTGAATAGACTCAAAACACTGAATTATACAACTTAAGTTTGTATAAAAGTGAGTTGCCGGGTACGTAAATGATTTCTTATCAAAGCCGTTAATTTTCGGTTATTTGTGAATCCACACCTGAGGATATTTTTCCCATTGCTTTTCAGAGAGTGGAAGGGGGGGGGAAGACATCAATTGGTTGCCTCCCACATGCGAGGATGGAGCCTGCAACCAAGGTACATGCCCTTGGCCAGAATCAAACCCGGGACCCTTCAGTCCTCAGGTGGATGCTCTAACCACTGAGCCAAACTGGCCAGGGCCAAACCCCGTTAATTTTTTTAAAAAAGGATCTGCCTGGGATATCCTTCAGGGATGAGAAAATGACTCGAGAAAAATTAAACCGTGTCATGTTCATAAAACAACAAAACCCCTTGCCCTGCAGGCCTCAGGAAGCCAGAATCTCAATCTACTCCCCTCTCTCCCGCCCTGCGCTCAGGCCCGACTCACGTCATCACGGCTCCGCCGCAGCTGGCTGAGCTCAGCCTTGGTCCTGCTCAGCTGCGTCTCCAGGTCCAGGATCTTGTTCTGGGCTGCACGCTCCTTGGTGACGGCGTGCTCCTTGGTTTGCTCCACCTGCCCAGGAGGAACAGAGGTGGGGCTGCCAACCTGCCGGGGGACGCCCGGACCACTCCCCTATCTGGTCTCCAGCACCGCACTTGCACGTCAGCACGGAGGGTTCTTTGGAGCCTCTGGGCGGGAGCTAACTGTGGGGACGACATCAGTAGCCCTCTTTACCTGCCCTTTCCCAACACCCCATGAGTCACCATCTGAGACGTGGCAAACCCGTCCCATGCAGGCAACAATTAAATGAGTGGCCATGAGCCGAGTGCCAAGTCCCTTGCAAGGATCGCTCATTGGATCCTTACGGTGAGTTCTTATCAGATGGGAAAATAGGCTCAGAGAGGTTAGGTGATTTGCCCGAGGCCACAGGGCTAGTGAGTGGTGGAATGGAGACTGACCTGCCTCCTCGCATCTTCAATGGCGCTCTCCAGCTGCCTCGCCAGGGTCCCGCATTCCCGTGTTTTCTCCTCCAGCCGCAGCTGGGACTGGTGGATTGCCTCCTCCCTCTTGGCAATCACCTGCAGGAACTCGATGTTCTGGGCTCCGGTCGCCTCCAGTTTCCTAGGTGAAAGCACTCGGTCAGATCCTGCTCATCCCACCTGTCCTGTTCCAGCCTGCCGGGGGCTGCCAGCCACCCGGACCAGGGCTCTTTCCACGCAGGGAACCTCCGAGGAGCCACTGGAATAAACCAAAGGAATCTGCGGGTCAGCCGGCGGCAAGGAACTGCAACCGGAGCAGCTGGTTGGAGAACTGTACAGAGTGGGGAGCGCAGAGGCGGACTGCAGGCTGTGCCAAGTGTGCATGTCATGTGCCACACGGCAACGGGCTGCTCAGGAAGGTGGGTTCTGTCTCCCATTTATAGGTGAAGAGACTCAGCCTCAGAGACCGGAAGTCATTGGCCTTCACCAAGACCCATACCCTCAACACCTTGCATTCCCTGCCGCCTCCTTCAGCAAAGGGACTCTGGCTGGACCACTCAGCATCTCGTGTGGCCAGCCCTGGAGCAGCAGTGACCATGTTCAGGTGCGGGCACAGTCCCCACTGCACTCCTGGACCATGTTCCACTTTGAGGGCCTCTGCAGGTCCTGCTGAGTCCAGCCGCACGTTCGAGGCCAGCAGAGCAGAGCAGAGGCGGAGCCCAGGCGACTCCCTGTTCAAGTTCCCACCTGCAGGCTGCCCACCGGTGGGCTGCATGCTGATGCAGAGCCTCCTAGGGCCTGCGCCCTTCATCTGCGAAAAGGAGGCTCTGGCCTTGCCTTTACAGATGCTAGAAGCTGCAGGATGTCAGGGGGGCTAAGCTGCAGCCTCGCCAGGTACCAGCTGTGTGACCTTGGGCACGTCGCTCAACCTCTCCCCGAGGTCAGTTTCCTCCCATTTAAATTGGGATAAGACCAACTACACACCACCTGTCCTGGACATTTCTGCATGCCAGGAAGTGTGCGGAGCTCTTTGGAGAGGACCTGGAGGACTTGCAGTAACCCCGTGAGCTGCACTACTTTCCCCGTCTTGCTCTCTTTCTCAAGATCAGCAATCAGAGACTCACAATGATTACATAGCAGGACCCAAGGCCCGGGCTTCTTCACCTCTGAGTGCCTCCAACAGGCCGTGAGTAACAAGGAGAACGGTCTCGGGAAGGACGATGAACACAGCGCAGGACGGGGAGGAGATGCCCTCCGCCCCCGGGCCGTCCGGGCCCTGCAGGTTTGCTTGGACAGTGCGGGCCTGCCTGACACGCGGCGCCTGCGGGGGTCTGCGTCGCCCACGCTGCTCTGGAGCGCCGCCCCTGGCCGGAGACCACCTTGCTCTCTCCCACGACCCTTACCACTGCGCAGAGAGCAGCTCTGAGGTCTGCCTAGTACCTTCCGGGCCTCGAGTCCCTCAAACGCTTCCACACACTGAGCCCAGAGCACCTAAGTGGCTGAAAGTCTCAGGTCCTACGAAGAGAACAGAGATGGGACCAGGTGCCTCTAACCTCTCCAGTTCATCCACCTTCAGACTCAGCTGTTTATTTTCCTTCTGGGAAGCCTGGTGTTTCTCTCTTGCCATCTCCAGCTTGTCCCCCTGATGCTCGATCTAAAATGACAGGAACACAGGCTGGTTTACCAAAGAACTGCTGGCAAGGCCCTCCCTTCTCCCTGCGACCTGTGATCCACACCCAGGAGGGAGGCAGCGCACAACCTGGAGAGAGAGAGAGCAGGGACAAGTTAGGCCCAGCCCCAGGACCGTGGCACCGAGGAGAGCGATTTCATCCTGAAGAACCACGAGGACGCTTGCTTCATCGGGAGAGGCCACTCGGCGGGATCCAGGGCAGACGCAAGCAGGCAGAAGCAGGTGGCAGGCCCGCACAGCGCACCGGTGAGCTTTTTACCAAGGACTTTGCAGGTGCTGCTGATTTTGTTCACCCCTTAACCGGGGACAAGTGCGGGCCAGGCAGCAGGAAAGCTGGCAGTTATGCAGAGGGATGCTCTACACAGAGGCCTCAGTATCTGGGCTTGCAAGGCCCTGAGATGCTCAGGTTCAAGAGAAGGCAGGAGACTGAAGAACAATGGGGACATGGGCTCCGGAGCCCGACAGCTGGTTGGGTTCCAATCCCTGAGGACTAAGTATCAGCTCTGTGACCTCAGGAAATTCCTTTCCCCTCTGTGCCCCGGGTTGCTTTCTGTAAAACAGAAATGGTACACCCCACAGAGTTCCTAGGGGAAGTAAGTGGGAGAATGGTGGAGCACAGAGCATCTGCTCAAAAAATGGTAGCTCCTCAGCCAGCGTGGCTCAGCGATTGAGCATTGACTTAGGATCTAGGAGATTGCGGTTCGATTCTGATCAGGGCACAGGCCCAGGTTGCAGCTCCATCCCCAGTGGGGGACATGCAGGAGGCAGCCGATCCAAGACTCTCTCATCATTGATGTGTCTCTCTCCCTCTCCCATTATCTGAAATCAATAAAGACATATATTTTTAAAAAACAGAAGCTGCTTTTATCATTACTACAAAGAAGCAGGTCAGGAGAGGGGAAGGGCCTCCCCCAAGGTCACCCTGCAGCTGAGAGGCATGTAATTTCTTAGGCACTGTAGGCCTGGTTCCAGGGACCCAGAGGCGGACTGCTTGGAAAGAAGGGGGCCCTCCTTTGGGACAGAATCTCAGGCGATGGCTCTGCAGAGTAGAGCAGGCAGCTAAAGCAAGAGAATAGCAGGAAAAAACCACCTATGGCGTGCGCCTGGGTGCAGGGCTGAGGACAGCGGCAGGGCAGAGGGCACAGGTAGGCGGACTTGGCGCACCGGGGGCGGGGCGGCAGCAGAGGGCCCAGCAGCTCCAGTGAGCGGCGGCTCCTAGACTAGAATCACTCTGTGCAAACACGGCATTTGGCACACCAGACTTTATTTCACAGCATTGATGATAGCTCACTCCTTTCAGAAACGGCAGCCAAGAAAAAGGAAGTGGTCCTCCCTCGGGGGGCGTGCAGCTCATCGTGGTAAGCGGGCCCCTGCTCGGACCAGTTCGTGGGACCCTTTCTGCCAGTCCCTTACCCGGCTGCGCAGGTCGGAAATGATGGCTGTGAGGTCGATGTTCTTCCTCTCGTAGCCCTGCAGCTGGTCCTGGCACTCTGCCAGCTTGGCCTCCGTGATCTTGAGGATGTCGGGCAGCTGCTGCAGGTCAGCCAGCTGGGACTGGAACTGCCGACGCGCCTGGAGGGGGTGGGAAAAGCCCACAGTCGGGAAGGGCCCAGCTGCTGAAGGGGGAAAAAATGCTCCCGCCCTCCCACAGGCCCCTGAGGGTGCCCAGTCAGCATGGAATGAGACCACCAGGACCCAGGCATTGTGCTAAGGGCTCTCCAAATACTCGCTGAATTCATACAACCTGTACAGTAGGCGCTGTCTTCCCTATATAAGGACACTAAGAATCAAAGGCTCATTGCCCACAGTCACTCAGCCAGAGCCAAGGTGAGTGTAGTCTAACTCCCCAGCCCCTAGGAAGGCAACCACAGAGCTGCAGGTCGGAGGAAGGGAAGAGCTGACTGCTCCTAGCCCCCCCCTTGCATTAACAAGGAGACTGAGGGCTGGAGAAGGGCATCAACCTGCCCGAGGTTATGAAACAAGCCAGTGGCTGAGCCTGGACTCAGCCCATCTCCTAGGTTGCTATGAAAACAATTCCCTTTGCTTCCAGACAGTCAGGCCATCTCTCCAACAAGGCTCCTTGGGGACAGGATGGGAGGCACATTTTTTGGATGGCACAAAACAAAGGCACCACACAGAACGAAACAGGCATGCCTAAGACATGGCCTATCTAGTGGACTCGAATCCACCGGGATGCTCCAAGCAGGAGAGATTTTTTTCTTAAGGAAATGGGAGAAAGAAAAAACCAGGAGGGAGGAGATAAAGAGGCACAAGCGAGAGGAGGCGAGAGAAAGGAGGGAGCAGGTGGGCCGCAGAGGACCAGCCCAGCACTGAGAAAACCTGTCCACCTTTGGAGCACACGAGGGAGGGCCAAGGGCAAAGGAAAACCGGGCGGGGAGAAGCAGGGCGGCGCAGTACCGCTTCGATCTCTTTGTTCATCTCGTCTTTGAGGATCTTGTTCTCTTTGTCACAGCGTTCGAGCTGCGCTGCGACTTCGTCGGCCTCCAGTCTGGTCTTCATCACCTGGGGACCAACACAGCATGAGGCGTCTGGGGCAGAGCCGAGTTCTGGTGAAAAATACCTGCCCCTCCCCAACCCTCCCAGGAAAGGCCCCGTGGCTCATCCCGGCCTGCTGAGAGGTGCCGCTGGTGGGGCAGGGGCACCCGAGGGGCCTACCTGACTCTTGTAGTTGTCAATCATCCCCTCGTAATTCTTAACCGACGCCTTCAGCTGCTGGACCTCGAGGTGTGCCTGATTGAGCTTGTCCTCCATGGGAGCGAAGCTAGCCTAGAGCAGGGGCCCGTGAGTGACCATCAGGAAGGTTCCGGAACAGGTGAGTGTCCCACCCCAGTTCCTGCTCCACGGGGCCAGCAAAGGGAAGCCCCAGCTACTGAAACCCACACCAGTGGTTCTGTTAGAGAGGCACCAGGCAGGACTCCCAACAGGACCAACTCAAGTGACGACAGACACAAATACGGGACACGTGTGTCCTCTTGTCCTCATTACAAAAGCAATAGTGATCGGTCAGTGAAATGGAGAGAGGACCAAGAGAAACGAATCAGGATGCATGACACCCTGGCTTACGGCCCTATTGGGGGGGGGGCAGTCCTGTTTTTCAACAAGAATGGGCCCTGTGCCACACTCACTGCTTTGCAACGCACTCTATCAACAACTGCTATGAACCACTTCTAAGGTCAGTGATGTCCTCCTGCCACCCAAACACTCACCTCAGCAGATGGGACAAAACAAATCACGTGTCTCAAGACAATAAAGTAATAAGCAGTCACTCAGACGAGAGAAAGCTTTAGGAAACACCAAAACCGACCTACAAAGCCATCGTGAAATGCTGCTGAATGAGGCAAGCGGGCTGCAGAGTAATGGGTGAGTGGTGTGTGTCTGAATGTGCATGTTCGTGGGGGGGGGGGGG